CCCACCCAGTACCACTTCCGGTTCCCTCGCCAACAGCCAACGGACGCCCAACTCAGTCTGAAACTCAGCCTCTGCCAGCTGCCTGATCGCCCACAATGGGATTTCCCAGAGGACCACGGCACCACAAACGCTGCCGCCGTCCACTTCGGGAACCACGTGTCGGCTCTACCTTACCCATCATGGTCACCGCGCCCCCACCACCTCCACTCCCGCCGCCCTCACAAGTGCGCCAGAACTACCACCCTGAATGTGAGGCCGCTGTCAACGACCACATCCACCTGCAGCTCTACGCCTCCTACGTGGCCCAGTCCATGGCTTTCTACTTCGACCACGACGAGGTGGCGCTGAAGGGCTTCGCCCGCTACTTCCTGAAGCTCGCCCTGATTGAGAGGGATCAAGCTGAGAAAATGGTGAGGATGCAGAACCAGCGGGGAGGCCGCATGGTCTTTCGCGACATCCGTAAGCCTGAGCGCGACAGCTGGGAGGGCGGCCTCCAGGCCATGGAGAATGCCTTGTACCTGGCCAAGAGCATCAACGAGAGCCTCCTGGAGCTGTATGACCTGGGCGCTTTGAAGGGCGATGCCCACCTCTGCTACTTCTTGAAGATCAACTACCTGGACCAGCAAGTCCAAGTCATTGAGGAGCTGGCATGCCACCTGACCAACCTGCGCAGCTTGGGGGCCCCAGACGTCAACATGGCGGAGTACCTCTTCGATAAGCTCACCCTGGGCCAGGGCGACAAAGAGAACTGAGCAGACTGTCCCCACTGCCACGGGGTGACGCCCCCAGGACTGATAGGTCCTTTGTGCCTTTTGCACAGTTACTTCATTCCTTCATTCAGTTTAAGCATTGTTTACAATAAAGTTTTGTGGTTCTTAAAGAAATAAATTTGTCTGGTTGAATCATATACAAATCCCTTAGCTATAGAAATAGGGCAAATCCCCAGGCAGGTACAAAACTGGTGTCACTGAATCTCCTTCACCCTTCCTTCCTCCCCTCCTAACATGTCCCATTTGCATGTAACTTAGGATCCCCACTGGTGGAGGGAAAAAAGGTTCCATGGGCTCCTGGAGAACACACTGATTTTCCTTTATAAACTAGGTGGGTTTGTGGGGGCTGGGTGAGGTGGGTGAGGTGCTGTGTGTGGTCTGGGGCCACCATGTCTCTGAAGTTGCAAATGTAAACATGGTGTTCTGGGAGGGGAAGTGAGGGTGATGGGATAGGGGTTAAAATAAAGTGAGGCTTAACTTTATCTGAAAAGATTAGGTTCACTAAAATATACAAATGTTGAAGTTTGTTAATTCTAGGTAGCAAGAAGGGGTCCCAGAAGATGAAAGGGCAGCATGCCTCTTTGAAAAGCTCACCCTGGGCCACAGTGACAAGGGGACTGGGCCATAGCCTGTCTTCCACTCAGAAGGGCTGTGATTTTTAGCATTTTGCCCTTTCAAAATCTCCACTTGGAGTTTTCTCCTCAACTGTACCATCTCTTCCAATAAAGTCACATGTTTTAAAAAAAATTCAGTCATGCAATACAGAAGGAGAGTTTGGTCAGTGATGGGGCACCTATACAACAGTGTGGCCTAGTGACACTGTAGTTGTTTGGTTTGTGTGAGTATACCTTACTAATTCACACAATGACAGAATCAACTATGGACACAGTTCTCAGAACATATGCCCCTGCCATTCAGCTATACACAGCTGTGCCTCAATAGAAGGGCTGAAAAAAATAAGGCCAAGGCTAAAGGTCAAATTGGTAATGTTAAATATTAAATATAATAAGTCCTCTTGAATGTTAAATGAGTGACTCTGCTTTGCAGAGTGTGGGGAGATAGATTAGGAGAGAGTTGAATCTGGAGACCAGTTAGAGCCATTTTATGCTGTCCAGATGAGAAACTAGTGTGGCTTGAATGCGATGGCGGCTGAGGAACTGAAGACATGTAAACAAATTCCAGAAGGAGTTCAGACAGATGGACAAGATTTTGCTTGTGGGCAGGAGGTGAGGAATGTGATAAAAGAAAATAGTGTAGGTTTTGGGCTTTGGACTTGGGCACCTGAGTGGATGGTGTTGCTAATTTCTAACCTCATGTTCTTTGCAGCAGGGATACTTGGGATGGTGGGATGAGGAAGGCAAGTCCTGTAAAATCTGAGACAGCTGTTAGACTTTTAATTCAAAATGTCATGCAGGTATCTAGGGAAAAGAACAACTCCTCCTCCTCTTCCCTGTGATCACAGGGGCTGTTTAGTTTTTTATCTTTTTTTCAGATTTATTTATTTGAAAGGCGGAGAGAGAGAATCTTCCATCCACTCGTTCTCTCCCCAAATGGCCACAACCTTACAGACTACCATCTAGTAACTAGATGAAGCTCACCAGGAGAGTATATATAGAGTATGGCACAACTTGCCCCAAGCCTAAGACACCTAACATTGAGAGTATTGTACCATTACCTTGTTCCAGACTGGCTTCTGGTGTCCACCCACAGTGCAACCCCACGTCAGTCTGTCCTAATGTCATTGTGGCCCCTGGTTTCTCCTTTCAAGATGCGGAGAAGAGTTAGCATTTTATTTTGTCTCTTGGCTATAGGTAGAAACAAATTATTTCCCAGTAAAAGGAAAATTCCTTAGGAAAAATGGTAATTATGTATGTCTATGTTTTTCCCCCTTCTCCTTTCAAAACTCTGCCTTCTCTCTGTCCTCTGCAGATAAAATTTGTATGCAAACCCTGAAATTTTCCACTTCTGTGAAAAAATTCAAAACATTTTGTTTCTTTGCTAAATTGCTGATTTAAAATAAAAGATAAAACAGATAGATTTTTGTCTGAAGCAGTCAAAATTTCAAAAGTAGCTGGAGGCCGGCACCGCGGCTCACTAGGCTAATCCTCTGCCTTGCAGCGCCGGCACAACGGGTTCTAGTCCCGGTTGAGGCACTGGATTCTGTCCCGGTTGCCCCTCTTCCAGGCCAGCTCTCTGCTGTGGCCAGGGAGTTCAGTGGAGGATGGCCCAAGTCCTTGGGCCCTGAACCCCATGGGAGACCAGGATAAGTACCTGGCTCCTGCCATCGGATCAGAGTGGTGCGCCGGCCACAGCGCGCCGGCCGCGGTGGCCATTGGAGGGTGAACCAACGGCAAAGGAAGACCTTTCTCTCTCTCTCTCTCTCTCTCTCTCTCCCTGTCCACTCTGCCTGTCAAAAAAAAAAGTAGCTGGAGTCCTTTTATTTCTAACTGATTGGTTTGAACATTCAGTAAAATATAAACAGGTTTTGCTATGTGGTAATTAAATTTTATATTTCATGACTGTACTTTAACACTTTCTTAAAAGTGAAGATTATGGGGCTGGCTTTGTGGCATAGCAGGTTAATCTGTGATTTGTAATGCTGGCATCCCATATCACAGTGCTGGTTAAAGTTCCAGTTGCTCCACTTATGATCCAGTTCCTTGCTAATGTGCCTCAGAAAACAACAGAATGTAACTCAAGTGCTTAGGCCCCTCACATCCATGTGGGAGGCCCAAATGGAGTTCCTGGCTCCTGGCTTCAGCCTGGCTCAGCTGTGGCTGTTGCAGCTATTTGGGGGGGGCGGTGGTGAAGGGGGTGAGCTAGTGGATGGAAGTGGAAGATTGTTCTCTCTCTCTCTCTCTCTCTCTCTCTCTCTCACACACACACACACACACTGCCTTTCAAATAAAATACTTTTTTTTTAAAGTGAGGATTCACCACTAACCGTAATATTAGTTCAATAAGTAAAACGTAGAGAGACCATTGTTCCACAGAAATATAGACAAGGACTATAAACAATAATCAAATCATAAGGTGTCAGCTTCATTCTTATACATTTTTTTGTATTCTCTATTAACTACCACATGTCAGTGAAACATATGACATTTGTTTTTTGGGGACTGGTTACACTTAGCATAATAGTCTCCACTTACATCCATTTTGTTGCAAAGGAGATTATAAAGTATATATAAATTATGTTATTGAAAAAATTAAAGGAAAAAAGAAAGGAAATGGGGGCACTGAGGGAGGTAGGGAGGGAAGGAAGTATGGTTATCTTAGAATTGTATCTATGAAATGCATGAAATCCATTCTCTTTATATGAATAAAAATTTTAAAATAAGTATTAATCATGTTATAAAGAAATTTTGGCTAAAATAAAATATTATCCTATCTTTAAAAATGTGAGAATTATGGTCCTTTGAGTTAAGGTTCCAGAAAGTGTTTTTGTTCATTTACTACTCTTAGTCTAACTACTTTGCTTGTCTGTTTCACTGTATGTCTTTCCTGCTTGCTTTGGGGACCTCTCCTCTCTGTTTGACCCAGATCTTATATAGTCAAACATTGCTTAATGACAAGGATACACTCTGAGAAACTCATCCTTCAGTGACTTACTCACTTAAGGTACATCACTGTGTATACTTACAAAAGTAAATACATACTTACACAAGATGTACCTAGATGGCAACATAATAACTAGGCAGTATCATTTTGTGGATCCACAATCATATATGTGGTCCATCGTTGACTGAGATATCATTTCATGGTGGGTGACTATATGAGTTTATGTGTACACTGTTCTTTGTTAGATACAAAGAGCAAGATGAGCATGGGGTAGGTATTTAAAAGGTTTATAGAAAATGTATATTATAAGAAAACTGGATGTCAAAAAACTTCTGTAGCAAAATAAACTTTTAACTCCATTTTTTTCCTCAAAAATTTAAAATCACCCTCATATTTCTAAGTGTCTGAAACTATCAGTTCACTAGGGATCTTCCTTACTTTCCTGTTTTAGAAAGGCAGTTTGCTATAGTGGTTTGTTAACCTCAGATTGCCTGGATTTAATCTCAATTTAGCCAATCATCTTAGATGAAATTGGGCAAATTATCTAACAGTTTTTCTGTGTTAATGTCTTCATATGTGACACAGAGATAATAAAAACATCACCCCATTGCATTATTGATGTTAAATGAATTAATGTGTGTAAATCACCTTGAACAGTACCTAACACATGTAAGTATAGCTATATTTGTAATCATCATTGTCACCATTATCAATATCCAATTATCTCTTTTTCTTCGTGTTGTTTATGGTTTGAGGAAGAGTTCACGTCTATACTTTGCCACTGGAGGTCTCTCTTGCATTTCTACCAAGCATGTCACCTGCATGCTAGTAGAGAAGGTAAAAGCCTGCCCAGCTGCTTAGGTTGTCAGGTGCCGCCAGGACTCAGCAGAGTAGATTGCAGTTGTCACTGTCCCCAGCTCAGGGCCACACTGGAGGGGAGTCTTGCTGTGACAGCTTTTCCTGGTCATCTCCACCCATCCTGTCTCAACCAGCTTTTCTTTGAAATCACCCCCTCAAACACTTTGTGCTTGTTCTTCCCAAATGCAGTGGCCTGAGCTTTCTGTTTCCATTCCTGCACTTCCTCCCAGATTTCAGAGATGGACAGAAACCAGAGGAGGAAGTGCCAACACTATTCACACTGTCATCTGGCTGTTTGCACATAAATAAGAGAGGCATGGGTGCGTGGATGAGAAAAAGGGACCACCTGAGAGCTAATGCTAGCAGGGGAACGGAAATGGCCAAGTCCTAGGAGCTTCAGCATGGAGGCTCTCCAGGTTGGCTGCACGTTAGAATCACCTGCAGAGCCTTTCAGTCTCTCAAGGCCCAGGCCCATCCCCCAGCACATACTCAGTCTCCAGGACAGGACTGGGGCATCCCTGGATTGAGAACCGGGGCTAGCTTCTTGCTGCTCACAGTGTGGTCTGTGGACCAGCAGCATCCATGATCTTACTTGAGAACTTGTTAGAAATTCAAAATCTCAAGCCCCACCCCAGACCTGCTGAATCAGAATCTGCATTTTAACAAGTCCCCAGGTGATGTGTATGCTACATGGAAGTTTGAGAAGCAAACTGTACCTTGGGTTAACCTGGGATACTGAAAAACAATACTGATGCTTGAACTTATTCAGTCATCTCCTCATGCACATCTGGACCAAACACTAAAAACTTACTGTAAAATCTTTACTTTTTAAATATTTGTTTATTTGTTGTTATTTGAAAGGCAGAGCAACAGAGAAAGAGAAGGAGGAACACACACAGAGTGCTTCTGTCCACTGGTTTACTCCCCAAATGGCTGCATCGGTGGTAACTGAGCCAGGCCAAAGACAGGAGCCTGGAACTCCATCTGGGTCGCCCACATGGGTGGCA